AAGTGAAGATCCAGGTGACTTCCTTCTCGAGTTATCAAAGTTCAGCTTTATATTTAATATTAATTTCTTCAGTGTTCTTATGAAAGTTATCTGCACATTTCTGGGTGAAGAACAAGGAAGCTTTCAGCTTCTTCTGATTGGTTTAAATGAGCCTCACAGTGGCGCTGATGGAGACGTCACTCACGTACTGAGATAGTCCAGCTCGTGGACCCCCGTCGTGACCCTGCCGCCTCCAGAGGTCAGGACCTGCATTCTTGCAGGAGAGCATTGTGTTGTTTAGAGGAAGTGGCGTCACCTCATTCATTCGTCTTATCACAATCCTTTCAGGGCGGCGAGGCTCGAACGACGGCGGCCCACAATGGCCGTCAAACCTGAGCTGCCATTCTTTGAAACACAATATAAACTTCCTGTGTTGAGGCAGCGCGGCGGGCCTCGACACCCACAACACGCTCACATTACTGCTTCAGTAGACCTTTAAATCCGTCAGCAGCAGATGACAGAAGCGAGTGCAGAGAAAAGGCTGAGGAGGGAAAGTGGATGTGACGGATGAAAGGAAGCGCCTCTCCCTGCTGGGGCCCCTTCTGCTCTGAAACTGCTCCTATCACACGATCTTTCCCACCACAGCATCCTGCATCCAGAGCTCGTGCAAAGACAAACTGTGTTGAGGTAAGGCCCCCACCCACCCTGCCAGCTTCCTTTGCATTTACTCAGAATCAGCCGTAAATGTGGCTGCTTACTTTGAACGGTGACAGAAGTTTCTGTCCAGTTTCTCTGGGTCAGCGCTAACCTTTGCCCCGCCCACTAAGCTGAACAGCTAAGCGACTAACAAACATCTACCTTAATAAAAAGGTCAAAGGTCGCCCTCGTATCAAATCAGGACTTGTGTCCATGTTTCCTGTCTGATCTGGTTCATGTGGGCTGCTGAGATCCCGGGTCAGAGTGGGTTCGTGTTCCCAGTGTGTCGCCCACAGTGACTGCTGCTCCAGTCCATCTGCAATAACATTCACAGCTGCATCTCTAAGCGTCCTCTGTCACATGGGCCTGCAGCCGGTCTGCTAGGGAGAAATGGACGTTCCTGGCTGGTTGTGAGTGGGTGCTGCTTGTTGCTAGCTTAAAGAAGCTGCACCAAAAGCCTGCTGGTCACAGTCGCTCATAGCTTGTGTGGAACTCACCAAGTCAACCTTAGGAAAGAAACCAAAAGCTGCACTTGTGAAACATGTAGTGTCTCCACTTCTCAGTGAGCTGTTAGGGACTGTGCGTCAGCAATCAGGCGCAATGCAGATGCCGCTCTGCAACGTCAACTAGCAACTGCCAGCAAACACTCCCCAGCTGGTCTGTGAGTCTTTCTCAGTCACACCAACTGATCTAAAGCCGGTGTGACTGAGGTCTGAGTGTCAGCCTTTGGCTCGGGGTAGAAACATCTAGAAACATCTGAAAAGTGATAGTCCCTTTAACTGGCATTATTTCTAATGACCAGCAGGGGGCGACACTTGTGTGCACATGAAAAGACTCACGCTGTGACATCAGCAAACATTTTCCTGATTTGTTTTCAGGCTCCGGGATCTTCTTCTTAGTTTAAGAGAAATCTCGTCTGTCTTATTTTTAAAGGACTGACTGTGTGATGCGTTTAGAGAAATCTGTCAAATCTAAATCATTAAACTGACTCTGGTTCCCTCCCACCACCTCGTCTATCTCAAGCATCTTTAATAACACTCGTATATATTTCTAAATCTCAGCGTAATAAACTGACTTCCTTTCAAGTCAGCCTGGAAGGATGAGCGGGTATTGCTCGCCAGTAGAGAAGGATATGAAGACTTAACCTTGTAACCTTCGCAGTTCAAAATCATTTCCAGGCGCGCTGCTCCACAGAGCCTCCGCTTCCCAATCCAAACAAACACAGCAGCTCCTAAACTTCAGAAATGTCTCCTGTCACAATGTTTCACAATTGTTTTATTCATTTAAAGCTTTGTTTTCAATGCAGACATAATGAATCCACGGCAGCGCCAATGAAAATCACATTTAACAGGAAGTCTGAGTGGACAGAGAGTCATGTGATGTGTTCACAGCTGACATTACACACTGGAGTTATTCTCACTATCAGAGATCTGATCTAAATGCTGAATAAAACCATATTCTGATTGATGATGTCACAGGACTCAGCGGGTTTAAGGACGTATAGTTCAGAAATATCACGTCTAATTGAATTTGTTCATAAAAAGTCATTTTATGGACATTTATTAAAATCCTTTTTTGTCTTTTGTTAAACTTTTTTAACCTCGACTTGTGGAGCTGCTGTAATGTGAAGCTGCACACTGTGGGTTACTGAAGTCTGCACCAGGCTCGGGTGCAGTCGGCGTTCATCGTGGCGTCTGGTGTTGTTGTGTTGCTCGTGTGACACGAGGACGCCTCGTTAGCGTTCAGTAACCTTTAAAACATGGATGCAGTCCGTGATGGACGGTTTTTCCAGTTTTCCCAGCGGAGAATAATCAGCTAGATCATGCTGACTGTTTCTTCTGCCTGTTGCTCGTAGGTGGATAATTTGCAGGAAACAGTGAACACACTCGGATATTTCTGGATGGCTGAGTTTTATAACTCGGCACCGAGTCCTTCGATGACTCCAGCGTTCCCGTCAGATTCCAGTTTTAGCCGGACTCTGCTGCTGGGAGCGGGAAGGCTTCGGCTCTGACTGACAGCCGGCCTCATTAGCGATCGGCGAGCTGTCAGCAGCAGCTGCAGCCCGTCTGCTGGCAGCTAATCGCACCTGCCGACACTCTGAGCTCGCGCTAACGAGGCTCCTCGTTTCGTGTTTGCAGCACAAACCACGGCAGCTCCAGGTGAGAGCTCTCGTTCCATCTCAGGAGCAAATTAAAACTCCTGAGAGCTGCCGAGCTCTCTGAGGACCTGCGTATACACCGCATACCTGCACACTAGGGGGGCAACGATACACAAAATCCACGGTTCAGTTCGATACTTTGGTGTCACGGTTCGATATTTTTTCGATACAAAAAAATGTTCATGCCTTTTTAATTTGTCATTTAGTAAA